AACAGCGACAACACACACAGTCCACAACAACTGGCAGAACAGACTTCTTAATATAATTTGTTTACTGGCTGTTCCCTGACATGCACCGTCCTCTTTTTACTGTCGCCAAACATATGTCTAGAGCAGGACAGCAGGCTTTCGACTTGCTTTCAGGCATCAGTGTTTATACGACTACTTACAGCCATAAAATCTTTTGCAAACAAATGACTCCATTTAATGCAAGCACACACTGGTCATCAGTGTCAAAATTCACTCTTTGATTCCATCCTCCATTGGGATGTCGGCTTCACTGTCAACATTCATTCTTTGATTCCATCCTCCACAGCCATGTCAGCTTCACTGTCAACATTCATTCTTTGATTCCATCCTCCACTGCCATGTCGACTTCACTGTCAACATTCATTCTTTGATTCCATCCTCCACGGCCATGTCGGCTTCACTGTCAACATTCATTTTTTGATTCCATCCCCCACAGCCATGTCAGCTTCACTGTCAACATTCATTCTTTGATTCCATCCTCCACAGCCATGTCAGCTTCACTGTCAACATTCATTCTTTGATTCCATCCTCCACTGCCATGTCGACTTCACTGTCAACATTCATTCTTTGATTCCATCCTCCACGGCCATGTTGGCTTCACTGTCAACATTCATTCTTTGATTCCATCCTCCACGGCCATGTCGGCTTCACTGTCAACATTATTCTTTGATTCCATCCTCCACGGCCATGTCGGCTTCACTGTCAACATTCATTCTTTGATTCCATCCTTCACTGCCATGTCGGCTTCACTGTCAACATTATTCTTTGATTCCATCCTCCACGGCCATGTCGGCTTCACTGTCAACATTCATTCTTTGATTCCATCCTCCACTGCCATGTCGGCTTCACTGTCAACATTCATTCTTTGATTCCACCCTCCACTGCCATGTCGACTTCACTGTCACCATTCATTCTTTGATTCCATCCTTCACTGCCATGTCGGCTTCACTATCAACATTATTCTTTGATTCCATTCTCCACGGCCATGTCGGCTTCACTGTCAACATTCATTCTTTGATTCCATCCTCCACTGCCATGTCGGCTTCACTGCCATTTGCTGTCTATCATATGGCCAGATGCACTTTGCTGTAGGTTCCAATTTCTGGTTCTCACACATTTATTCCTGTACTCGTGACTGGTCCAAACAGCACACTCAGACCGATCCTTAGTTCTCTCACACTTCTAATCATCCATTCAGTCTCATGCATTATCCTAGCATTGTTCAGTTATTCTCTTGGTTCGCAACAGTCACACTAAACTTCATGTTTGTTTCTGCTGAAATCTGGCCCCGCCTCTTGCACATAGTTTATGTTAACTCTTAGTATTACATCAAGTGTGTCATTACAACATCGGATTTCAGCAAAAGTTTCATTAGTCACCATAGATAGAGATGAAAAGAGGAGTACATCAGGGATCTGTGGTATCCCAAAGCTTTTTCAATTTATATACAGAAAACATTTTTTTAAGTTTGCTGAGAAATTGCCTGGACTGAATATTAATGGAAGAACAATATACAATCTTGAGACATGCTGTCAGTAAATAAGTAAAGTAAAGGTATCTTTTCATGCCTTTAGGCGCATCAGGCATATGGGAAGAGTATCACATATTTCTACAAACCATTCGGCACTGGGTGGGTAATGTGGTCAGCATCACGGAGGCCATCTTTACTTCCCTAGGACATCCATCCTGGAACCCATTTCAGGCTGGGTCGACCTGCGATGCCCCATACCACGATAAAAATCCACGCAGTGAAAAAGTGAAATTGAAATCAAAAAGAGAACAGGAATGACTAAAACTATCTTCAGTAGTATGTGCAAATTACTGACAGATAGAAAGATAAACAACACACTAAAAATGAGAATCATCAAATTTATGTATACTCAATCCTGCTATATAGTGCAGAAACTTGGACAATGAAGAAGCAACTAGAAAACTGAACTGTCTCTAAACATGTGGGCATACAGAAAAATAGGTCATATCTCATGGAAACAAAAACAGTCCATACAGAGGTTCTGGAAAGACTATGAATGAAAAAAAGTGACGACTGAAATATTTCGCCACATTAAAAGACATAACAAGCTTTTGAAAACCATCCTTGATGGAAAAGTTGAAGTCAAGAAAGCAAGAGGTAAGCAGCTATGCAAGTGGGAGGACAACATCAAGAACTGGACAAACAGCAATCTGAGGACAAACAGACAATCTGTCGAGCTTCAGCGTACAACCAGTGACAACGGACCTGACTGATTATTCAGCATTTATGTGGAGACGGAGACTGATTAATCAGTGCCCCCCCCCCCCCAACATTTACTGTTGTGGAGACGGCACCTGACTGATTATTCAGTGCCCCCCCCCCAACATTTACTGTTGTGGAGACGGCACCAGTTGACATTTACTGTTGTGGAGAACTGATTTCATGCCCCCCCCCCCCCCCAACCCCCCCACTGTTGTGGAGACGGCACCTGACTGATTAATCAGTGCCCCCCCCCCCCCCCACCTGTTGTGGAGACGGCACCTGACTGATTAATCAGTGCCCCCCCCCCCCCCCAACATTTACTGATTAATCAGTTGTGGAGACTGTTGTGGAGGCACCTGACTGATTAATCAGTGCCCCCCCCCCCCCAATTTACTGTTGTGGAGACGGCCCACTGATTAATCATGCCCCCCCCCCTTACTGTTGTGGAGACGGCACCTGACTGATTAATCAGTGCACCTGACTGATTAATCAGTGCCCCCCCCCCCCCCCCCCCAACATTTACTGTTGTGGAGACGGCACCTGACTGATTAATCAGTGCCCCCCCCCCCCCCCCCCCGGCATTTACTGATTTGTGGAGACGGCCTGATAGTAATCTTCCCCCCCCTCCCCCAATTTTACTGTTGTGGAGACGCCCCTGACTGATTAATCAGTCCCCCCCCCCCCCCCCCCCCCCAATTTACTGTTATGGAGACGGCACCTGACTGATTAATCAGTGCCCCCCCCCCCCCCCCACCAAATTGACTGATTAACGGCACCTGACTGATTAATCAGTCCCCCCCCCCCCCAGTGGAGACGGCCCCCCCCCCCCCACATTTACTGTTGTGGAGACGGCACCTGACTGATTAATCAGTGCCCCCCCCCCCCCCCCCAATTTACTGTTGTGGAGACGGCACCTGACTGATTAATCAGTCCCCCCCCCCCCCCCCAATTTACTGTTGTGGAGACGGCACCCCGACCAGTGGCCCCCCCCCCCCCCCCCCCATGAGGCTTGCTCCAGAACCCACCGGGAAAATGGCATTCAATAGGTTATGTGGTAAAAGAGCAGTACTACTACAACTTCTTCTTGACATTCACCAGCTTGAAGCCCTTAGAGAGATAGGACGTTCTGAGGATTTTAGAAGCAACGTGTCCACATCGCTGCTAAGAATACGAGAATAGGGAGTAAAGATCGGCACAGCCAAGCATGAGAAGCACACCGGACGCACACAAAGTCTCGTTAACCAACACAGGACTGGCACTATTAACCGTGCGATGCTGATGAATATGTTGAGAGGGGATTCTGAGCATCTATGGATGTGTCCGGAGTGCGGTGAAGATAATCTAACTCATAACTCAGCCAGAAAGTACAGGTTATTCATCCACTTCTAGACTAGTTTAGCGTGCACATCCGCTTTACAGATCTGAATCTTGTATGCAGACTGTTGGTTCTCTGTCTCTCAGGAAATGTACGACTTTGAAGGAACCTCCCCATTAGTCAACTTTTACTACATTCTTTTAAGTAGGCAGTAGGTCTATTCTTGTTCTGCCCCAAAATGAGGCTCCAGGAACCACATGGGGAAAAAAAGAACAATACAAGTGAATAGCACTCAACCATAGCCTTACATAAGAAGAACATTTTGGTCTCCACTGGATTCTCATGTCGAGGATGAAGATGATGCCAACGAATTAGATGACTGTGATGGATGCTGTGTGGCTGAATAGGATGCTGCTGCTGCAGCAGAATCTTCTACCTGTCTCTCTGACTGAACAGTTACATCAGAAGGTACACCAGTCACACTTTCAGTCACTGGATGATCTAACTGTTCTTGAGTGGGTGTCAAGCAACTCTGCCATTCACACTGTTCTGTCAGTGCCAGTTTGGTAGTAGACGATGTTTTCTGTAGTTCACTGGTCTCTTGCTGATTCTCTCTATATTCCAGTGCCTCTAGAGATATTGCGGATGTGTTCAGTGAGGGTTCCTCCAACAAATATGTGTCTGCATCCAAAACTGTGAGTGGGTTCATCTCATGCTGGCTTTCAATTTTAGTAGGTGAAGCTACTTGATTCATACATGTATGATCTTTGACAATAATTGAAGAGTTTTCCAAGGCAGACAAAGATACCTGATTCCTAGTTGTATGATCGCTGACAACAACTAAAGAGTTTTCTGGGGCAGATGAAGCTACTGGATTTATAGTTTGGTCTTTGACAACAAAGTGAACAGTATGAAGATGTTTCTGACAGCAATATGGATGAGGATGATGTAGCTGATGGCAAGGTTTCACCTTGGTACAAAGCATGTGTGTCCAGAAACTCAATTGTTACAGGTGCTAATGTGTTCTCTGGTGCTGATGGCAGAACCTCATTTAAGAAATTGTCTTTTTGAGGACCATCTGAATTAATTTCTGCAGTGGTCACGGGTAAGTTGATACACATCTGTGTGGTGTTTATGTCAGAGTATAGTGAATCAATGAGGTGACTCTGCTCACCTTTAGTCAGTCTGTTTGAACTTGAGTTCGCACTAGCTATCGGAAAGCCTGGTGAAACAGGGTGTGAATCTGTTACGACAGAGTTAGGGAGTTCTGTTCTGCTGCGCACATGTGGTGACATCCCAGGGAAGTGAACTGCGAGATGGTCATGTGTTGTGGCAGTCATGGTAGAGTAGGTATTGGCTGATAAGCCAGGAGCTACTGGACTCAGAGCATCCAAAGAAGTCTTGGGTTCCTGCTCACAAGCTTGGGTAACAAGCTGGTGTCACTGAACCACAACATTCTCTCAAAGGTGGATTAGTAGTTGAAGATGTGCTCCAAGAATGCTGCACTGACTGGAGAGGTTGGAAGCTGGTCATATCATTGCCATTAACAACAGTGGTGGTCAAACTGGTAAACCCAACTGACGGTAGCGAAGGAAAACTGTCATGGTTCTGCTGCCTCAAATAATCTACACTTGTCCCTGTTGAGTTGTTAGAAGTGTAGGTATGGTTTGCAAGTAGAGATGGATCCAGCTTCACCCCGTCTTTATGATCAAACTTATTCTGAAAGCTGGAAGATGCTCCTGGCAAAATTAAACTACCATCAGGACCTGCGAGTTCTAGGTTCGCATCTATCTGTGGGCAAGTCAAAAATGCTTTCTGTGAGGCAGGTCCTGAGCTTGGTGTCATGGTGCCCTCTGTGCCCACACAGTGGCCAAGAGTCACTGGGAGAGCCGCTGGTAGCAATGGACAGGTCAGCAAAGACTGCCCACTGGCTGCTGATTTCTGTTGAGCATGGAGAGGGGTCATCAGTTCACAAGACTGATGCTGTTCCAAACCTAGCGTCTTACAAGCTGCTGTAGAACTATGTCCCATGCCATTGATATGATGGGCTTGCATGGCCGACTGGTTGAGAATAGAAGCCTGGGTGGACAAACCAGGTGGATGGCTATGAACAGTACCATTGCTGTTAGTACTGAGTGAGCTCATGCCCTGTGCCATGAATAAGTGAGACTGGGACATGTGAAATTTACCAGAAAACCCACTTTGGGTTACACCAGAGAACGAATTTCTGTCCAAAGCATCTGGAGATGGGTCGCTCATCTCAGAGTAGGAGTTGTCATCGATGTCAAAGTACATAGATGTGGTGTTTTCTGCCTGGTAGACTTCCTCTTCCCCATCGTTAAACAGCAGCATGTGACGAGACTGCTGCTGCTGATGCTGAGGAGGCAGTGGCTGTGACTGCTGGGGTGCTGGATGTAGCAGTGAAATGCTGGACGACAGACCTAAATGATGCTGATGCTGCTGTTGCAACTGTGGCACCAGTGCTCCTGGATACCCTGGCTGTGAGCCCAGAGGTGTACTAGTGATGATATGCTGTTGGTGGTGCTGCTGCTGTTGCTGCCGATGTTGCTGTGCCACCATTGAAAATTTTACATCATGCATCATAACATTGCACATGTCTGTGTTCTGACAATCCCTACAACTACCTCTCTCATTACTGTTGTACATATTCAGATCAATCATCTCTGCCTTCTTAGCTTTCAGCCTGCTCTTCAGCACCTTCATTCCACTGCTGGTCCCAGCATCATTACTGGCCCCGCCGCAACTGTCATCATTCCTATCTTCTGCATTACCTGGGCTGCTTATCACTTCACTCTCTTCTCCTATAGCTCCTACCACATCAATTTCACCACCAACCGATGAAGACTTTGGTGAAAAACAAGTTGTCATTGCTGCGGCTGAATTCCCATGGAGGCATTCTGAATCTTTCCTTTCCAACTCCAGCCTCATAAGAGTGTGAATGAAATGTGTCCTCACTCGGATGGGATTAAATTCAACTCTTCCTGCTGGGTTACTACATCCATCTTTTGTACACCCACAAGGGAAAGACAACCGATCGACCTGGCACTGTATGCCAGCTTGGCTACAGGAGCAAGTCGCAGGGTCACAAAATAATTTACAGTCACAGCCACAAACGTTTCTGGAAACCCTAATGTCTCTGCATTCGTCTTTCTCATCGTTATCAATTTTCTTCACCCCTGCAGTCCTTAACAAAATCCGCCGCTGTCGTATGGGAAGAGGCTGCAGGAAATAGTAGTCGTCATATTCACTGTCACTCTCACTTCCAGAGGAAACCTCTGCAGCATCCAACGGAGGCAGGCTGGACGCCAGCAGGTGAGAGGGAAACAGCCTACCTTGTCTGCGCTGTTCTGCCAGGATGGCACGGTGGATGCGCTTCTGTTCTTTTGTGTAGTCGGACAGCGTGAAGTCCCGAGTGAAGCTGTGTTTTTCCGACATCCCTGAAACATGATTCATAAGCATTTGTTAACAGCTTACTTAATATTTTAGGACACATCATATCCTGATAACTGGAGCTGCAGTAATGAAGTGCCCTTTTAAAGGTGCAGAAACATGGACAATGAACAAGCAAATAGGAAATTGAACTGAGTCCCTGGAGATGTGAGTATACAGAAGAATAAGTTGTATTTCATAGAAACAAAAACAGTCCAATACAGAGGTTCTAGAAAGGTTACAAATGAAAAGAGAATTACTGAAAGAAATAAAAAAAAAGAACAATGAAAGACTTTGGCCACATTAAAAGACATGATACACTTTTAAAAACCTTTCTGGAGGGAAAGTCTGAAGGCAAGAGAGCAAGAGGTAGGCAATGATACAAGTGGGAGGACAACATTAGGAGAGGGACAGGCAGCACTTTTGACAAAGTGTACAACCAGGACAAGAGACAAGAGCCTGCTGGAGATCTATTGCAGCCAACCTTTACTGTGGAGACGGCATCTGACTGATTGATCAACAAAGGTCAACTAAGGTCAATAAGGTAAAGGACTTATTTCTGCGTAGTTACCTGCACAGGACAGCAGGTTACACCTGGCTGGTATAGCCAATACGGGTGTACTAATTATAACTTCTCTGGAAGTTGAATGGGGTATCTGGGATCTACCTTTAGGCGTATAGGACATATATGGCTAGACCTATATTTGATAGACCAATCGGCACAAGATGGGTGATGTAGTGAGCACCATGCCGGCTGCCTTTACTTCAAAGGACTGCACCCGGTACCCACTCAAGATGGGTCGATCTGGTAGCCAAGGACATTTTTGAAAAAAGTCCCGCATGACCTTCTGATCCGCAGGCAAGCATCTAGCCACGCAACCATGGCAACTCCCCAGCATATGGTAGATAAATATTTTTATAACCAATCAGTGTCCAGTGAATGTTATGGTCAACATCATCATCATCCTCACCATCATCTCCATTATTATCATCACCATCGCCATTAGGATCACATCATCACCACCATTATCATCATCAATCATCATGAGGTGCCTTGCCGACTAGTGTGGGCGACCATGCCTCTCCATAATCTGCGATCTCCTGCAGCATGTATCAGTTCGTGTGCCAACACACCTCCATGCCATGCAACAAGACTGTCAAGAATTTTCTCTCGTTGTCTTCCTCTATCCCTACTTCCACAGATCTTTCCAGTGGTCACATGTTCTATTTTCCCTCTTCTCATAATATGGCAGAAAAATTATGAATGTCTCCTTCTGATGTCAGCTAAAAGTTGTCTTCAGGCTCCTGCCTCTTTCAAACCCTCTTGGTTGCTCTCTTTTTGACTGTCCAAGGTATTCTAAGCATTCTTCTGTAAAACCACATCTCTGAGGCCAATCATCATCATTATCATCATGTAGCAGGTCCTTTGCAGAACGTCGCTCTCATCACAGTCTACCTGAAAGAAACTCGTTCTCTCGCCAGTTCTTCCGCCTTATGTACTTTCATACTCAAGGAGTCACTTATATCCTGTGTCCATCTTTGTGTCGGTCGGCCCAATCATCATCACATAATCATCATCACATCATCACCCTCATCCTCATTATAATTCCGCTGGCCAACATTGTCTCACACAGTGTTCGCAGTCTTTTCCACCATTCTACTCTATCCTGTAAAATTCTGTTAATACCACGGATGGAATCCAGGCCAACATCTTTGGCCTCTCTCATCAATGTTCATTTTAGGGTTTATTGTTTATGTCTTCCTTTCTTCAAGCCATCTGTTTCCCCCATTTCGGTGCCTGTCTGGTGACTCACCATGTGCTTAATACAGCGCCATCTTCTTTGTTCTATAACTGCTGATACCACCAGAGGTTGTCCAGATATATCTTTGTTCTATAACTGCTGATATCACCAGTGGTTGTCCAGATATATCTTTGTTCTAAAACTGCTGATACCACCAGTGGTTGTCCAGATATATCTTTGTTCTATAACTGCTGATATCACCAGTGGTTGTCCAGATATATCTTTGTTCTATTAACTGCTGATACCACCAGTGGTTGTCCAGATATATCTTTGTTCTAAAACTGCTGATAACACCAGTGGTTGTCCAGATATATCTTTGTTCTAAAACTGCAGATACCACCAGTGGTTGTCCAGAAATATCTTTGTTCTAAAACTGCTGATACCACCAGTGGTTGTCCAGATATATCTTTGTTCTAAAACTGCTGATAACACCAGTGGTTGTCCAGAAATATCTTTGTTCTATAACTGCTGATACCACCAGTGGTTGTCCAGATATATCTTTGTTCTATAACTGCTGATAACACCAGTGGTTGTCCAGAAATATCTTTGTTCTATAACTGCTGATAACACCAGTGGTTGTCCAGAAATATCTTTGTTCTAAAACTGCTGATACCACCAGTGGTTGTCCAGATATATCTTTGTTCTAAAACTGCTGATAACACCAGTGGTTGTCCAGAAATATCTTTGTTCTATAACTGCTGATAACACCAGTGGTTGTCCAGATATATCTTTGTTCTATAACTGCTGATACCACCAGTGGTTGTCCAGATATATCTTTGTTCTATAACTGCTGATAACACCAGTGGTTGTCCAGATATATCTTTGTTCTATAACTGCTGATAACACCAGTGGTTGTCCAGATATATCTTTGTTCTATAACTGCTGATAACACCAGTGGTTGTCCAGAAATATCTTTGTTTTATAACTGCTGATACCACCAGTGGTTGTCCAGATATATCTTTGTTCTATTAACTGCAGATACCACCAGTGGTTGTCCAGATATATCTTTGTTCTAAAACTGCTGATATCACCAGTGGTTGTCCAGATTTATCTTTGTTCTATAACTGCTGATATCACCAGTGGTTGTCCAGATTTATCTTTGTTCTAAAACTGCTGATATCACCAGAGGTTGTCCAGATATATCTTTGTTCTAAAACTGCTGATACCACCAGTGGTTGTCCAGATATATCTTTGTTTTATAACTGCTGATACCACCAGTGGTTGTCCAGATTTATCTTTGTTCTATAACTGCTGATAACACCAGTGGTTGTCCAGATATATCTTTGTTTTATAACTGCTGATAACACCAGTGGTTGTCCAGATATATCTTTGTTTTATAACTGCTGATACCACCAGTGGTTGTCCAGATTTATCTTTGTTCTATAACTGCTGATAACACCAGTGGTTGTCCAGATATATCTCCCTTCTCATCCCTTTTCTTTAATTCATTCAATGTTCCTCAGTATCCTCTGGCATTAAGGCCACCATTCATAGTCACCTTTTTTCCCCAGGATATGCCCTGATTTCAGACTGAGACTTGGTCAGCCTGAGAGCCCTTAGTCAACTGTAATAGAAATTCACCCTAATGGAGATTCATACCCAAGACCCTTGGGCTGGCAGATGCATAGGCATGTAGCCACTGGCCCCCCAACACCACTACCACACATATGGTTACACAATCACAAGAGATGTGTTTACCTAAAGTGGAGCCACCTTCACTGGGTACACAGGTAAAGCCCTGCCTCCTGGGGAAGTAGAACACTGTCACACCTTGGAAGTTCACCTTCTTCTTCATTCTCTTCGGTGGAGATGGGCCTGAAGCAACTGAAAGGTGCAGTAAAATTATCATCCATCGTTAATCATATACTGACAAAGTAGAGGGAATGGACAAACATAATCACACTCCCCCCCCCTCCCTCGCCCCCACCTTTTTATCTATGAGGAGGCATGGGAGTCACAACCCATGGCAAAGGTGGCTGTAGCTGGGCACGCACTGAGAGAGAGAAATGAGAGACTGAGAGGCGGGAAGCGAGAGGCGGGAAGCAAGAGGTAGGCAGACAGAGAAGATAAAAGAGTCTTAGAGAGAGAAAGACAGGAAGAGGATGAGACAGAGGGACATCGAGACTCAAACAGGCAGATAATCAGAGAAAGACAGACAGACAGACAGACAGACAGACAGACAGACAGACAGACAGACAGACAAACAGACAGACAGACAGGCAGGCAGGCAGACATACAGAGAGACAGACAGAGAAGATAAAAAAAAGTCTTAGAGAGAATAAGACAGGAAGAGGATGAGACAGAGGGACACAGAGACTCAAACAGTGAGGTAAATAATCAGAGATGACAGACAAACAGATGGGTGGACAAACGGATGGACAGACAAACAGATGAGCGGACAGACGGTTGGACAGACAGACAGACAAACAGACCGATGGACGGACGGATGGATGGACAGACAGACAGAGGAGACAGAAAGAGAAAGAACACATTTTACTTTCAGGGGAGAGAGAGTAGCAGGTGTAGTGCGCTGAATGTCTCTATACAGGACACGACCATCTGGTAACTACGACCCCCATTAAGGGACAAAACGCTAAAGAAGAAGACAGGTCTAGTTTCCTCAAGTATACAGTACAGATAATAAGAGCCCAATATTTTCAAGGGCACTCAATGGGTGATGTCATTAACATCACAAGGACCACCTTTACTTTCCATAATATTTCTTCATACCCATTTTAGGCTAGGGAGCCAAGCTAGTATAGTGATCAGATGATCACCTGCTAACCTAAAGGTCTTGGGTTCAAATCAACGCCAGCAAATATTTAGGGAAAAAAAAAGCTTTGACTCCTAAGTCGACCACGCCTACAATATTCTGGGAAGTAAAGGTGGCCGGCATCAGGCTGACCATCCCACCCATCAAGTGCTGACTGACTGGTCAATAAAAATAGGACTCTATTATATGCCCGATGTACCGCTGACAAAAAAAAGAGCCCTTTATTGTTCTTGCTTTTAATTTTTAGGCTGGGTAATCCTAGGAGCCCCTGCCAATCTGTGAAATAAATCTGTCTTGACTGGGATTTGAACATTACCACCATATCAGCAGGCGAATGTGCTAGCCCAGTTACTCCACCTATGTAACACATTCTATGATACTAAGGTAAACACACATTCTGTGTCACTTCCACCCCAAAGGTTGGCTACAGTGGGCCCACGACCTTCTTTGGAAATACTGCTGGGGAGAGGCCCCAATCTCCTCCATGATGCAACTTTGTACTACTCTCTAATACTCTTCGTACTACTTTTGACTAGGAAAGGGGAAGCGCGGGGGATGAGAGAGGAAATGAAGTAAGTGGGTTGCATATCCTCTTCAGGATGTTGTTAACAAATCCAGTACTTATTTATTAGCTGCTGTACAGTTTAACTAGGCAATTTTTATGTTTAGTTGTTTACCAGTACACTGTTAATCCCATTGTCACAATGAAGACAAACCGGTTCTGCCAGCAAATCACCTGCAGCTGACTTCAACCTCAGGCATATCAGGATTGTGAAACAGTTAACAACTCCTCAAGTGTGTATTATTGTTCTTCTTCTTCATCTCTTCTACCAGTTACTTCTGCAAAATGTGTCTTTGGGGGGGTGCGTGCCTGCGTACATGTGTTGT